TTGACCTTTTGTGGTTTTGATTCTCTGCAGGACAAAGATCGATGAGATCAACCAAAGAAAAGAAGAAGAGCTGAAGGCCATGAATATCCGTGTCCAGAGACTACAGACGGACCTCATGGCAGCCAATCAGGTTCGATCTCGCTAAGAAATCACACCAGTCCGTTACTATGTGCATTCCCCCAGCTCCTCTATCATTCTTTCCCCAGTCAGGGTAATGTCCTACAAGGAAAAATAACCATGTTGGGATTATTTATGTACACCGATAAAAGTCTTGCTCGATGTTGTGTGGTGTAAGTTTAACCACTGAAAACAAACAAAGCACTTTCTATCTGAAATGAATTTTTTATGTGCAGATTGTTGAAAAATGGGCCGTATGAGCCCATCATCAGTCATCCTCTAGTTGTGATAAACACATAATCTGTGCTAATAGCAGCTCTGGGTACTACAGCCCATAGGGGGCGCTAAAGCACACGATAGATGTGTCAAAAGTACAAAATATTCCATATTCCTGGTTAAGTGATGACGTTTGAATCCTGCTACCTCGTCCGAACTCCTGCTGCATTCATTAAGGCTGTTGTCTGTTTAACATGTAGTGATGTGTTGTATCTTGTTGTATTTAATATAATCCACCTCTCTGGCTTTTTGTTAGCACCATTCATGTGCAGCACATCTTTAAGCTAGTTTAAAAATGGATGGATGGTAACTGTGCTACATGGGCTCACGGTTTGCCAAACACCAAATAGCTAAGCTCTACAGAATACTGTCCTTCTGAGGCTAACTAAGAGTTCAGTGGGGACATGAGATAAGATAAAACTTTATTAAGCCCTCGGTGGGTTCCTCTGGGAAATTCGGTTTCCAAAAGCACAGCACCGACAGAAGTTACAGAGCGTGAGCAGAATATTATATATATACACACACATATAAATACAGAGACATATATAAATAAAATATACGAAGGAGATAAATAGAATAAATAGGAATAAAAATAAAAATACAAGTGAATTGCACATTTCAAGTATTGAGGTCTGTTGCACCGTTGACTATTAACAAAAGTATTGCACAGTGAAGTGAAGAGGCACTACAGCTGAGTTGTTCCCACCTCCTTTGTCCTCCCTCTCCCCTCCAGAGAGGAGTTAAACAGTCTGATGGCGTGTGGGACAAAGGAGTTTTTAAGTCTGTTGGTTCTTGTCTTTGGGAGAAGCAACCTGTCACTGAACAGACTCTTCTGGTTGTTTATGGCCGTGTGCATGAAGCTGAGGAGCAGGAATTGTTCATAACGAGTAATCCAAACCACGCAGCAGCATATTATTGACTAACCTGGTGTTGTGGATGGATCATCACAGATGTTCTGAAGTTTGGTCCTCTTTTAGTGCTTTTTTCCTGTCTTATGATTTCGTTTGTCGCTGTCCATCTGGGACCACCACAATAGCTTTTAATAAGGGGGGAAACTTTAATGTTCATCCTCCATCTTGGCTGTGTTAATGTGGTTATATTATCCTAGCTATAGCTCTGTAGCTAGATACCAACTAGCCCAGCTTTAATGACACCACAGATATTGCTGCTGTTTAGTTTTCTTCAGTTATGTCTGAAAAGTAGTTCATGTCTGTGGCTGACGTCTGTTGAACACCTTTGGGTGTTATTGGAGAATCTGAATCAGACTGAATCTGTTGGACACGCTGAATAATTAAAACATGCATTAATAAAACATACATGACGTGACGTCACATTTTCTGTACGAGTCCAAAAACAAAAAAACTTTTAATTCCAAAGTTTGCACACTTCACATGTCATTGTGAACATAGTGAAAGAGTCTCTTTCTGTTCTGTTTTCTCCTCTGTAACGATCATTTCAGCCTCGCTATGAACTTTGACTTTTTACTTTATAAACTGTAATCATTTGTGTTTGTGCGTTTTCATGCAGACGGTGTCAGAGCTGAGAGAGCAGCTACAGAGCAAAGACAAGGAACA